TCAAATCTCAACATTACAAAAACATAAACAATCTAATTAGGAAAGAGGCAAAAAAAAAAAACAACCCTGAAGGACTACTGCACCATTAAAGATATATGGATGACAAATAAGCACATGAAAAAATGTTCAACAGCACCTGCTCTTTGGGAAATGCAAGTTAAGACCGTGATGCAATATCACTGTACCTATCAGAATGTCTGAAATATAAGATTGTGACAATACCAAATTCAGGTAAGGATTCTTGAGAAACATACATTGTTGGTGAGAATGTAAAATGGTACCACTACTCTGGAAAACAGTTTGGCAGTTTTTTAAAAACTAAACATTTGGGGCTCCTGGGTGGCTCAGTCAGTTGAATGTCTGACTCTTGATTTCAGCTCAGGTCATGATCTCATAGTTCATGAGATCGAGCCCTGCCTTGAGCTCTGCCATATGACTTGGCAATTACACTCGTGGTCAATTACATTTATCCCAGAGAAATGAAAACTTGTACACAAGTGTTCATAGTACCTTTATTTGTAACAGTGTAAAATTGGAAATCACTTGTATGTCTGTTAGTGAGTTGACTGGTTAAATAAACCTGTACACCCATTGCATGGAATATTAGTAAGCAATGAAAGGGAATGAGGTTTAAATACAAACAGCTTGGATGGATCTCAAGGGCCTTTGGCTGAGTGAAAAAAGCCAACCTCCAAAGCTTACATACTGGTTGTTGTGGTGGTTACACAAATATACACATGTGAGAAAATGACTTAGAAACATATACACACATTGTACCAAGGTCATTTTCCTGGCTGTGGTATTATATTAGAATTCCGTAAGTGGTAATCATTGTGTGAAGGGTACACAGGACCTCTTCACTACCATTACAATTCCCTATACTCTATGGTTATTTCAAAATAAAAAAGTTCTTTAATGCCCTAGAGGAGAAGTTATGCCACTCAGACAAATTTTGACGGGTACAGTTTGTTTTAGATGTGTATTGCAGCTATCTTTTTATATGTATATAAAGACAGAATCCTCATCTCTTATAAATATGTACTACAGTATTTACAGATGGAATTATGTCACACCTTGGATCTGTGGGGAGGGGATTATAGATGGTGTAGCCAGATTGCCCTCATGTTTGAGAATTGTTGAAGCTGGATGATCGGTGTACAAGGTTCATTACACTGTCATCTCTCCCTTTGTACATATTTCAAACTTTCCATTATAAAACAGTTTAAAACATAAGTGAAATAAAAATAATGAGGGCTCCTTGGGACTGTCGACTATGTGGATCAGGGGCAGAGCTATTAGCTCCTGCCCCCAGGGTGGGCTCAGGCCACTGCTGCCAGGGCTTCTTGGGTCAGTTCCAGAGACAGGGCATTGCTCTCATCAAGTCATGTGCTTCTGGGGCAGAGCTATTAGCTCCTGCCCCCAGGGTGGGCTCAGGCCACTGCTGCCAGGGCTTCTTGGGTCAGTTCCAGAGACAGGGCGTTGCTCTCATCAAGTCATGTGCTTCTGTCACCATATTCAGCCACGTGCATGAAGCTTTAACTGTATTCCTGGTATTGGCTCTGCCAGGCCTCATAGGCTCTGCCTTCATCTGTTTCTTTTCCAGCCCTCCCTGTGTTCATTTATTCATCTCTCCACTTTTTTATTCATCTGTTCTGTCATTCCTCTGTACACCATTCTCCCACCCATCTGTCTACTCATTCATTTCTTTAACACTTACAGAAGTCTACATCAATGAATAAGGCATGGTTACTGCCTTTGGGAGAGACAGTCAGACAATGCAATATATAGGGGACGTATGATAAATGCCATAACCATTGTCTGTACAAAGCACCTCGGGAGTGAGATAGAAGCCGATGTCAGTCCTTGGAGTGATGGTGTCATATAAGACTTGCACAGAGGAGGTAATGCTTGAGGTGAGTCTTGAAAGTTAATATTTTCAACTATGTTTGGCTCACCCGGGTAATCCGGGATAATCTCCCTATTTTGAGGTCAGCTGATTTGCAGACTTAATTCCATCTACAACTTTAATTCCCCTTTGTCATGTAAAATAACATATTCATGGGATCCAGGGATTAGGATTTTGACATCTTTTGGGGTCCATTACTCTGCCTCCCACAAGAATAGATTCAACAATTTAACTTAAGGACAGAGCAGACATTGTGGATCCATAGGAAAGGACTGTCTATTCCATAAATGTGCTCAGACAAATGCTTATTCTTAAAGAAAAAAATGAAATTGGATTCTAAAGGTTCTGGACCCCATTATCATGTGTGTTCCCGCCACCAAGTAATTCTCAGACACCAGCGGGGTGTCGTACAATTCAACTAAATTCTCACACTCTCCACCTGGAGATAGCATCAGATCCCACAGATTAACAGGGCTCAGCTCTGTAAGACTGCCCTTCTTCTCCCACTTCGGACACTGGTCACAAACCCCAGGTGCTCCTGACCAACAGGTTGTAGATTGGAGTTTCCAACTGATCCCTACCTTGTGTTCAAGTAATTTGCTAGAGCAGCTCACAGAACTCAGAGAAACATTTTACTGACTAGATTACTGATTTATTATAAAAGCGTCTAACTCAGGAACAACCACATGGAAGAGATGTACAGGCAAATTATGCAGGAAGGGTCACAGAGCTGCCATGCCCTCTTCGGGTGCGCCACTCTCCCCCAATCTCCCTGTGTTCACCAACCCAATAGCTCTCCAAACACTGTCCTTGGGGTTTTTAAAGAGGCTTCATTACACAGGCATGATTGGCTAAATCACTGGCCATTGGCTCAACTTCCAGTCCCCCTTCTCTCCCCAGAGGTAGGTTGGGGGGTGGACTAAAGGTTCTAAACCTCTAATCTCAGGGTTGTTTCCCCTGGCAACCAGCCCCATCCTAGGTTACCTAGGGGCTTTCTAGAAGTCATCATTAACATAAAAAAAAAAAAAAACCCTTCTCTTTCTTATCACTGGATATCCCAAGGATTTTAGGAGCTCTTTGCCTGGATGGAGTGGAAGACCAAATATATATTTATGATAAACCACAGTACTGCAGATTCCAACCCACACAATACATAATATACAATACACATATTCCCAAGTGCAATAAAAACCTAATGTCAAAAGAAAAACTATAGGGGACATCTGGGTAGCTCAGTCAGTTAAGCGTCTGACTCTTGATCTCAGCTCAGGTTTTGATCTCAGGGCCATGGGTTCAAGCCCCATGTCGGGCTCTGTACTGGGCATGAAACCTACTTAAAAAAAAAAACACTATAAAACATTGAAGGATAACATAGGAAAATATCTTTATAACTTTGAGGTGGGGAAGAGTTTCCTAAACACAAAAAATATAAACCATGCAAGACAAGATTGATAAATTTGTCTATATGAAAATTAAGAACTTCTGTTCATCAAAAGCAACTTAAAGAGACAAGACAAACCACAAAGTGGGAGACTGTACTTATGATACATGTGGGTGACAAAGATTTAGTATGGAGAATGGAGACAGTGTATGTGCATATATACATACATAGAAATAGATTTTTTTACATTAATGATTACATTAAAGATCAACAAGCTCAGTTGACATAGATATTTTATATGAAAGGAGATACTAGTGACCCTAAAGCATAAATAAGCTGTTCACCTCATTAGTGATCAGAGACTGGTAAATTCAAATCACAGTAAGATACCATTCCATACCCATCAGCCTGTCAGCAGTGTTTGACAATGCCAGTCCTCAGAGTGATGGGAACTTTCATACACACTGTCGGAGGTCTTAAGAGGTAAAATAGCTTTGGGCAACAGTTCGGCATACCTACGACCCAGGAATGCCATACCTGGGCACCTGCCCCCTAGAGCATGAATTCACACCAGGGTAATGATTTTGACAAATGGGGCAAAAATCTTAGGTATTGCAATAGTTTGTGGCCTTCCAAAGAGCCACAGAACATAACATTTGATATATTTGTGGTATTAAATTTTCATTGAGATGATTAGGATGATTAGAGTATAAAAGGCTCTTTAGGGGTTAATAATGAAAAGGAGTTGAGAAACACTGTCCAAAGTGGAACTCTGGGACATGTGCCCAGGAGGTCTGTAGATATGTTTGCAATGACATTGTTCACACTGGCAACAACACAGAAAAGCATCCAGTGCTCTCCAGCAGTGCAATGGATTTGTAAAATTTGACATATTCATAAAATGCAAGATTGTGCATCAGTGAAACTGAATCAGTCACAGCTGCATAACCCAAAAAAAGCTGTTGAGTAAAAAAGAAAGGAAGGAAGGGAGGAAGAGAAGGAGGGAGGGAGGAAGGGAGAGAGGGAAGGAGGAAGAAAGGAAGGAAGGAAGGAAGGAAAAGTCAGCCAAAGAAAAGCTACTGGATGGTCCCATTTATGTAACGTCAAACGATGCAAAACTTGACAGAAATAAATGCTAAACACAGAATGGGTATGATTTATAGAACTTTGAAATATTGGATAGCTCTAAAGGAAAGAGAGAAGAGAGGGGAATATGATTGGAGTAGTGCATACAGGCGGTCGAATTCTAAGACTGGTGTTTTTCTTAAGCAGAATAAGTACTATGGGAGTTCATTTTATTAATTTTCTAACTATATTTAAATGTATATACCATATATTTCTTTGGAGATATATATATATATATTTCATAATAAAGTGTTAGCATTATTCTTAAGGGTCTTCTACCATACCTGGCACATTGGCTCAGCTGGAGGGGCTCTTGAGTGCCATACTCTGTCTAGCCGATACCCAAGGTTCCCTGTTTATGGAGTTGGTGGGGATTGAATGGTAGGTGATCAACAGTGATGGGGTGAAAGGCAACCAGGGTCCTCTTTCAACTAAATAATGTGTTCACAGCAAAAATGGTTTGAGAAACTAGTTCTCAGGTCTTTCTCCCTCCTCTTAAAGGAGCATTTATCCCAAAAAAGTTCGTCTCCTTCTCTGCCTGCCCCTCTTCCTCAGCTCCTCTTTGCCAGCTGGTGTCTCTCCTTCCAGCTATCCCTGATGGAGTTCTGGACACGGGCATCCGTGCTGACGAGGCGGGGAGTGAGGAAGACCTGTATGAGGACCTGCACAGCTCCAGCCACCACTACAGCCACCCTGGAGGGGGTGGTGAGCAGCTGGCCATCAACGAGGTAGGGTCAGGGCTGCGTGGGTGAAGGGATGGGACTGGGACAGATGGCCTGGCTGTCAGGGTGAGTCCAGCATGTTCACACAGACCTAGATGTCCACAAGCTCTGTGTTCTAAGCAGATGGCAGTGGCACCAGCATGCACACAACAGTTTCAGTCTGTGGTTCTCTCTTTAGGATATGGTATCCACCAGCAGATCTTACCCAAACGCAGGGCCCACCCCTCTGTCCTCCTGGGCCTACAGGGGACCCAGAATGGCAGGCATGACCCAGGACCTGTGATGAAAGTGTACTGGTCTATCCTACCCAATAGCCCCTGTAAGCCATCCTGGATGCAAGAACCCTGCTTGGTAGAAGGAAGGCCAGGGTTTAGCCCCCTCCCTCCAAGAAGTTGTCTGGATAGGATGGGGAGTGAGGCAAGTGAAAATTGATTTCTTTCCTATTGAGTCCAAGAGCTCAAAACTTATTGTGGTTGCTATGACAACTGCGTGTAAGTTATTCTTTTTTTTTTTTTTCTTCCTTTTCCTACCTAAGCAGAAGAAATTAATGACAAACTTCCTCTAGGCAAAACTGGTTCCCATATCGAGTACTCCTTTTTCATTCTCCAAGGACAGAGAAATTTTGAGACCTTGAATCCTCTCTTTTTCTCACTTATACACCTATTCTCTCCCCTTCTTCTCTTTTACTTAATTCCAGGATGGGGGGCATTAAACATAATGTGGTCCATAACCCACATCCATAACAACACCCTGTTCTCTTCCTGGTCATGAGCCAGTATGCATTTCTGCTTCATCAAAACCAGAATTTGACCACCCAGGATCTTGCAGCACCCCAGAAAGGGATCAATTTACAGTTTGAGTGAATGAATGAGCTGGTGGGCTTCTCAGAAACCCTCAAGGAGTGTGCTGTCCTTATTACCTACTGGACAGATGGATACAAACTGTTGATGGTGGATGAACTCTTTCCCCAGGCCCAGGTTTGAATAAATGATTTAAAACAGTCATTAAATAATGCTTTATTCAAGATCCATTTGTTAAAGAATACATATTCAAATAAGTTAAATGAGTTGATTTTTCCAAAACATAAAGCCTTTCTTTAAGTGTTTCTCATAATCTATTTTGAATGGAAGATGTTCTAAAATCATGTCCTCTTTTTTTAAATTTTTTAATGTTTTATTTATTTCTGAGAGAGAGAGAGACAGGTAGCATGAACAGGGGAGGATCAGAGAAAGAGGGAGATACAGAATCTGAAATAGGCTCCAGGCTCTGAGCCAGCTGTCAGCACAGAGCCCGAAGCGGGGCTCAAACCCACGAACCGTGAGATCATGACCTGAGCCGAAGTTGGACGCTTAACCGACTGAGCCACCCAGGCACCCCTAAAATCATGTCTTCTTAAGCAGAATTCACAGATAGTGGTTTTGCTTTTTCTTGAAGTCTCAGGCTGCCCTCCTCAGTCTTGGGCCCCAGCCCTGGTGGGGAGCAGTGTGGTGTAGGCAGAGGAAATCTGGACTTTGGGGCCTCCCATACCTGGATGGGAGTTCCTTCTTGCCCAGTACCAGGTGTAGAGCTCTGAGCAGCTAACCCTCTGAATGCTGGTTTACTTAACTGTAAAATAGGATAGCCATGAGCTTATATAAGGACTAACTGAAATAATGTAAATAACCTGGTATGTGGTGGGTTCTCAGTACACTCCCAGTAATGAGGATGATAGCAAAGAAGGAATACTAACATAAAGCTTTTAGAGACTCTGAAGAGGTGTGGGGATTTTTAAGGCCATCAGTGCTGCATGGTTAGAGTTCTTGCATCTGTTTTACGTAGTTGCCTGTCTCTTACCTGATGGTGAAATTCTGGTCTGTCATATCTTGCTGCTGGTAAGGAAGTGCCTTCTGGGGCCCTTGACAAGTTTTTCATTCCAAGATGCTTTGGATGAGGAAAGCCAAGAGCTAGGGCTGCTCTAAGAGAACAAATAGGCTCCAGCAGAGGCCACCTCTATGATTATGAATTGGATAGCACCTATTTTAGCTGCCTAGAGAGTTTGTTTCTTGTTTGGTTCAAAGGTCTTTCTTGGTATTTGAGGCTCCTGAGTGGATGGGTGGTGATGTGGTATCCTATGTTTAGAGTGCTCAGTGCTTCAGGGTACTTGTCTTTCCTGGACATGCCCTTGTGGGGAAGGACATGTCACATCATGCAGGAGGGCAGCTGGGTCAGACTGGGGAGCCCCTCTCCAGTGATGTAGCCAGCTAATGCTGGTTAGAGGCTGGGCTCCTGACTTGGCCAGTCACCACCAGGCCGCTCTCCTTCCTGAGACCCACCAGTACCTCTAATCCCCTTTCAGGGCAACACAGGATGAAGGGCAGGCCCTGGGTTTGGAGGCTGACCGCACTGCATCTGCCCTCCCACCCTGCCCCTGGATAGTGTAGGACATGTGGCAAGTCATTCCCTCAGGGCCTCAGTTTTCTCTTGTCGGGTGGATGTGCCCCCTGAGCCCCACTGGCAGCTGTAGGAGGGTCATTGCACCCAGGTGTATAAGGTTCTTAGGAAAGGCAGCACCCATTTGTTGGCAGCATTGAATAGACCCACTTTATTAGAAACTGAAGAGATATAAAATGTGGTTCTGCAATAAGACTAGTTCGCTTGGCCTTCCAAGAGCAATGAAGTCCCACTGTGAATCCCCTGAACACACTAGCACTCACTGCTGGTTCACATGTATGGCAAGCTGATTTGCTAGGGTCAACATGAGTTTCATACTTAGAGATTATAGAGCAACAGGTGTCAGAGAAGAGCCCATACTAAAGAATATTTATTATGCTGTAAAATCACATATTCACTTGAATTTTTCCAACACATCTGAGTATCATGTTCTAAGTTGTGGCACCTTCTTGTTTGTATTGACCTCATAAGGACATGCCACATCTCAGTTTCCTAAGCAGAAGGGAGCTCAAACCCGCCCAAAGCACAGTAGACACAGGGGAGAATTGTGAAGCATTTCTGTATTCTGGATACAGAAGAAGTGAGTGCATTGCCCACAAACACATCCACATGCAGGTTGTGGGTGTGATGTGTATATGTGTATGTTGCATGTGATATATTTACTGAGTATTTAATTAATGTCAGATAATATCCCAGGCCCTGAGATACAGAATAGGTAGGACTGTCAAGGACAGGGGCAGGCAGTGCATGTCTATGCCCTGCGGAAAGTGAAAGGGGACACAGAATCATTCATTCTTTATTCCCTGCATCTCCCTTGTGCCTTGTGACTGTCCAGACCCTGTAACATGAGTTAACTGTAGTGCTTAGAAGTGTCCCTTTCTTTGTTCAGCATCATCCTGTCTGGTGCCTTGTCCAGACAACCATGACTGAGGCCTAGGTCTGTCTACCAAATTCCTCACCCTCTTCCCAGCCTTTCCTTACCTCACACAGCTCTGAGCCTGCTTTGCTGGGCTGGAGTCAGGCCTAAGGGTATCCTTAACCCAAGGATTTTGTTCCAGGGTTGAGGGCTGAAAGGAGGAGGTATCTTAGAAGACATTGTTCTCTTTTCATTTCCACCAGCCCTACCTCCTCCGCTTAAGTTGTGACATGGGACCAGAGGAGGGGAGGCCATGGCTCCTAGCCCGGAGGCCTGGGGTCTGCTGATGCCCACTCCTCTGTGCTATGGCTGGCAGCGTCTTCTCTAGGGGCCAGGTCACAGCTGCATTAACAGAGGGCACATGTGTGGAGCTAGTCTTCCTCTCAGTTCTGCCCATTGCCTGCATGGCTCTGAGGGCCTTGTATCCAGGCCTGCTCTAAGCACCTGATGCCCCTGCTCCAGGAGGGCGGGGGGGGGGGGGGGGGGGGGGGGGTCAAGGACAGTTCCTGGATCCTGCTGCTGAGAAGAGGTGAAGTGTGAACTAGAGGGCAGACAGACATAAATCGTGTCCTCTAACCTGGGGCTTAGAGCATAATAGGAGCTCAACCAATAATTAGGCCAGCACAGCAGGTGGGAAGCAGGACTGTCCTGGCCCATCAGGCCGTAGGGTCACCTGAGGATAGAAAACAGCCTTGCTCCCCTCAAGCTCTCAGAAACTCTTTGTGGAACACTAAGAGGACACTCAGGACCCCAGACCAGCTTGTGTCTCTTCCATAGAGACAGTCTGACCTTCTCTCCAGGTGTTTCTGTCTTCCCCAGTGGCTGTGACCCTGGAGACCCATCCCAAGGCCTACCTGGCTCTTGAACCTCTTCTTGCACCAGCCCAAGAGAAGAGCTTGATACTGGTCAGTGCCCCAGATACCTTTTGCATCCCTGTTGTTGGGTAACAACTGCACTTAACTTTCCATGATATGGGATAGCATGAGGCCCTGGGCCAGAGCTGTAAGCTGTCTGCTGGCCAGCACAGTCAGAGCTGTTTTCCTCATCCCTCCCCAAGCCACAGTGCTGGGGGCTTGGCACTCATCTGTGCAAACACCTGTCACCCTCCATCGCTCCCTGCAACCCCCTGCTACCACCTCCACTTACCCTCCCCTCCCCGGCTTGGAACCATCCAGTTTGAACCCCTCAAGGGCTGAGGCCTTTGCTTTCAAGCTTTTCTGGCTTAGCTTTTTTGGTCATAGAAACATACACAAAAAGATGTTGCCAATGTGTTCCCTGCTATCACTCCAGTTCACCAGGATCTAAAGTCTGGGTGCCGCCTGGCAAGGCAGTGGCCACCTCTTAGTTCTTGGCCCTGACCCAGGTTCAGAGGTTCTTCTGCCACAGGCTGGTCAGCTACAGGGGAGACAGAGGTCATGTCCCAGAACTGGGCCATGGCTGAAGCCCTAATACATGCCCCGGAGGCCAGTGCAGCAGCAGGTAGCATGCTGTACACCCACAGCACTCAGCACTGTGCTGCCTAGTGGATTCCCAGAACAGCCCTCTCTGTGCCCTATTCCTTGTTGTCCAGTAGCTCTGGAATCACAGGACCACCATGAAACATCTGGCCCAAAGTCAGGGCTTCTGAACCACACCCTACCAAGAGGGAGTATCACACAGT